GTCAATCTCAAAAGTACGAAACTGCAACTTGCAGTTTTGTCAGTCTCAAAAGTGCGAAAATGCAAGTTGCACTTTTGTCAGTCTCGAAAGTGCAAAAATGCAAGTTGCACTTTTGTCAGTCTCGAAAGTGCAAAAGTGCAACTTGCATTTTTATCAATCTCAAAAGTGCAAAAGTGCAACTTGCACTTTTGTCAATCTCACAGGTTACTGGGGAGTTCGAATTGTCCGGCGTGCCATCCGGCAAGCATAACCACAACCAAAACCATCTACTCCATAATAGCCAATTAGCCCCTGTCCGCATATCCCAATGAAACCAACTTACCTTCACTTACCTTCTCTCTACCGTTGCACCACATCTTCCACATCTCTCATATCCTAATATATGTCCGACAATGTACTCGACCTCTATCAGTGGTTCAACAGTTTCCCCGACCTCGAGACCCTGACCATAGATCAGCTTCAAGATTTCATAGAGGCCTGCTGCGAGTTTTTACATGCCTTCATGGTTGTCCAACGGTCTTTGCCAAGCAGCTGCTCGCCGCCTTTGTATATTCCCAAAGCATTCCTCAGTTGGCTCGCCGATGTCACTTATCTTGACTTATTGCAACTGGGGGCGCTCTGCAAAGCCCTCAAGGACCATATCTGGACCACGCATGAAGCAGCGGTCTCAACAATTTGTGACGATCTTTGAAAGGACAGGATGGAGGAGGGGAATTTGTGTGTTTGCTTATTCTCACAACTCTCTTCTTATCTTGACATGTTCAACCTAGCGCTACTCTCCCTATACCCGCCAACTACAACATGTACCAACTCCCTCTGCAACAACAACAAAGAGTTTTGCCAGCAAGACATACACGAAGCGGTCGTGTTCACCCTTGAAAATGGCGTCCAAATGGCCATTCTCGTTAGTTTCGCCTACAGCAGTGTGTAGCCCATTTTTCTGACAATGGATTGTCATTCCTGATTGTTATTTCAGCTTACCAACATCAATAGCATCATAAATATTATATTCACGATGATAACCTCACTCGCACATTCTATGGCGAGATTCCCGAGTACATTGATGTCGACACGCATCACTACATTAACATCTACCTCATGGAGATTACTCGTATATTCAAAATTATGCCCGGCTTGGCATTGTACTGTTTGGCTTTGTGGCTGTGGTATATCTCTCGCTTTGACGTTAGTGCTCGGTATTTGTATACAATGTAGGGCTCTGGACTGCACGACAGATATGGACGGGCCTAATGTGTCTACTTGTGTTCAAGTTTTCCTTTCCAGTACAATGGAACAGCAATTATGACTGAGCGACATGGTAGGACAAAAGCCCTAAGTGCTGTAGCGCAGCGAGGCTGCCTTGTGTTCACTACCGTGATATGTGTATCTTCGTATGTCTCTCATTTTTGCAGAGATTAGTTCAAGTTATCTAGTACTGACAGTGAGCATACTACACAACAGAACCTCTGCAAGTCCTGCGCATGCAAGGATATACGAGGAAGTGTTTGTACGGTCCTTCCATTAATTGTATCTTCAATCTTACGCCGCGGACTGCTTGGTGGTGTTTGGCAAGCGGAGTTCTAACTCGCGATGAGTACGCCACCCTCCTGTATTGTTAGCCGCAATTGTATGGTTTCACACGGAAGGAGTACATTGCCCTAGAATTGTGATCTTCACGTTTGACGAAGGCATGAGGCCTGAGGGTTCGTACCTTCTTTTCTATACGCTTGATTGTGATAGGGTACCAAATTTAGAATGGAATACATCGCGTTGAATGAGTCGCGCCTCCTTTGTGGCGTGAGCTACTCTCCTTTAGTTCATGTTTCCCGGCTTTGAATTATGAGCTTCGCGGATGCCATACAGTATAGACTTGATCTCAGCATTTGTGAATGTAATCCTATGATGACAATCAGGGGCTAATCTATAGCCTACTCTGTCCCGGGACAGTCCGGAACTGGTCGTTCATCTCTCCATTCCATCCGATTTTTGAACGTTGCCATGAGGTGCAACTTGGATACGTCAGGGTCATCAGCACAGTCGAATGCTTGAAATCGCGGCAAGTTCCTCATTGTCCTCAGCTTGCTAAAGGAATTGACATTCTAGGTCCTGTCTCCGGCTTGGCCAGCTCCCAATGTCGCACTACTGACTCTCAGTCACGTCGACATGTCCATTGTGGTGCTCAATGCAGCAGATACAAGGTACATTCCCTCTCAGCTTGTTGTCTCTTTGTGATCTTCTAACTCCACAACTCCATTCTTTGCTTTATCCCCTCTGTTTTTCCTGCAGACCCACTCAAAACATCTCCGCTTGCTTGGTGTTGAATGCTGTTCAATGTTCGCTGTAAATCATCCCGTACAGCATTGGAAGTATAAAATGGGTGGATTGGTTGCTATGATGGATGCCAGTGAGTCATCTTTGAGTCCCCGCTTGAATGCCACCCCCCTGTCTCATTCGTGCAGCTTTCGAGCATGCACTTCAAACTCCTTCCCAGTACCTTTGACAATTCTACCTCTCCCACAGTTCTGGTATTCTCTTCTCGTACACCAGACTCCCGCCCCCTTGATGTCTCGTCTATCCCCATTCCATCCTATGCTCCATTGCTCAACTGTGCCGCCCTTTGGACAGAATGGCAGCGAGGCGCTCCATAACGACTTGCGGATCCAGCCCGCTGACCTCATGGCTCAGATCCTCCACCCTGACAATGAGGACGCTATGCGTGGGGCTGAGGCTGGTCCTGGGATGGCCAATGACGCTGAGATCAATGCAAGTCTGATACAGGAGCCATAGAAACAGCGAGGCAATCGTTGTAAAGTATCTAATAAGAAGTACAACACGTTCTAGGGCCATTAGGTATTGAAGATCGCACCAGGGGTGTTGTTCTGAATTTATCTACATTTTTATCTACAATTTTTGCGCTATTTTACCGAATGTCGCACTTTTTTGTTCATAGGTCGCTTTAGAGGTGGGACAGTCCCGCCTAAATTGTTTGTTTTCCCGGCCTGTGGGACATGGGACAAGCGAATGGTCGTAAAAGTGCAGTATACCTTGATCGCCTCTCCCACCTTGACATACAACGTATCATGTTACCATTGAATGCAATTGACATATTTGTGGTAGTAGTATCTCTTGGGATTCACGCTTAGAAAAGGTGTGTGATACGCTGATAGCACTCAGGTATGATTTCTCACTTCCTTTATACTAGTAAATACATTAGGAGTACTTCTGTAGCTCCTGTACTCGTAATTAGCTTCTGATTCTCTAATAAATAGCTTCTGCTTCCCCAAGCCTTGGCCCGGGGCTTCTGACTCGTCCGGTGGTCTATCTGCCCATCTCGTGTCTTATTATCTTATCTCGGCATCGGCCGATTACGTGAACACGATGACAGGCTCACGAATTCAACAGTATCAGCCCAGCCAACATGTTTACCAGAACCGCCCCACCGACACTGTAAGATCATGGGCTGACGTCCGCTACGCCGAGACCGCCGGGTGAAGATGGACTGCATAATGTGGGTGGTGGTGGTGCAGACACAGAGGATGAACGGTGTGAGGGAACCATGTCACAGTGTCGATCGTCATTGATTAGTATAGTAGAACTCGCCACAAACAAAGCTACTTCCGTATAGGTGGAAGGATGCCCCTGGAACTGATAAGGCACGACCACCATCACCAGAGTTTTGAAATGGTACGCAATCAATTCCAAACTCACGCCGCACGAGAAGGGCATTCTCCAAGAGGAGCTTGTTAGCCTCCGTGATTGATTTGTCGACGGCTTTGCTAGCAGCATAACCATTCGCGCTGCCAATTGCCATCGGCAATTTGCTATACAGTCCAAAGGGGGCGCGTTGATGTCAATATGCGGAGCCTGCATTGCACTCGATAAGGACCAGAACTTGCAGCGACAGCTACGACGGGTATTCTATTTAGTTTTTGGACATGCAATTGCCGACTATATATTTTCGGCAGTATAACCAGTGCGAGGTAGAATATGCTTGTATTACAGCCACAGATCTGAGTGAGCTTAAAAAGAGACGTAGCTTGATGACGTCAACAGTGTTGATACACATGCAGGCTGAGGAGCTCAAGGAGCTAGTAAAAGATTCTTGCGTCGCTCATGCGCGTCAGCTCCTCACACAAGGAGATCAGAACAGGTGTATCTTGACCTGTTTTGCTATATGCAGGTCTGTAGCATGGAGATCCTTGTAACTTGGAAAGTGCTTACGTGTCTGATCAGAGCGGTCACCTTCAAGAACATGGGCTGTTTGTCAAAGTCAGTCAGTGTCTGGCCAACCAGGCTCAGCGTGCAATCGACGGTAATCCCATCGCCAAATCTGGTACCCAATATGATCTTGAATTAATGCAACTCTTTGTTGCACTTCGAGGGTATGAAAAAAAGATTAAAGCTCAGCGCTCAATACAGCCTCATTGGCCAGGTCATACCAACGATTTGCAAGCGCCGACTACGGTGAGCATACAGTTGATGATTGGGTTATGATATCAGCTGTCTCCTGACTTCTACGGCACCTCCTAGACAGTGTTTTGCTGAGAATGTTATTGCTCGGGGATATAAGAGGGTTCCTGTTGCCCTCGCCAGGGACTGCACAGTGGTATCTTATTTTCAGAAGTTTATATATGGTGCATCCTGATAACACTGGGGCCTGGCTCAGTTGAAAGGCAAGTTGACACACTGCACGCTATTTGGGTCACATATTTTGGGTGGCATGAAGTCGCTCAGCAAGTATGAGGTATCTGAGCGCGATGATATTGACTGGATCATTCGTGAAGTGGTCGACGAGTCAGCACTTGCCTCCGGAGCCCGGGTACTGGTAGGCAAGGTATGTATAATTTAGTTTCATGATAACTTGATGTATCTGATACAAAGCCGGCTTATCTAGATCCCTTTGCCTGGTAATCGTCCAGTCCCCTGCATGTTGCACCCAGCCAAGGGCGGGAAAATGCTCAAGAAAATGCAGAGCTGCTATTGGAGTGCTTAGATCTCTACCACAAGGCACAGATCCCTGGGATCTCCGTTGGATGCGATAACGCTGTTTAGGTGCCCACGAGATCCTGAATTCATCATCAAAGGCGCCTGGATATTTCTCATTCTCTATTGAATAGTATAATCTCACGTTGAAGGTGCCTACATTTGAAGGTACAGGACCCCCCGCGACCGACCCAGAAGCCAGCCACATCGAGAAGAACTGCCGCAATGGGGAGGAGAATGGTGTTTGCGTCCTCACTGTTGGAAATCACTTGATTGCTTCATCGATTCTTATTTCATTGCAGAAGTGGCCGGGGAATCGTATGATCGAGAAGGACATTATCAACACCAACAAGCAGGATGAGGGAGCTGCTATCCGCCTTCATCATTCAAACGTGCTGCTTGCATGCACCACTGCTGCAGATGGTGCTGCCGAACCCACTGTCCTTGAAGAGTACAAGAGTGTCTTTATTGTTCACTTCATACATGGTTAGATTCTGCATGCTACGGTGTTACTGTTACCTGATGCAGTATTTGTCTAATAGGAGACTTTTTCGATGTGTGGCTAGAACAGCCCACGGACATCAAGGATCGACTTTGAGCAGTATTTCGCACCAAGTTCTTCAATAGGATATGGTACTTTGACTCATACAAGTGTTCAAAGGATGACGAGCACGGCCATATCTCTCCGGTCTCTCGAATTTTCTTATCACTTCAGACGTTCTGGTTCATCGACGCCAGCTGTGATGCTTTCATTAAACTCCTGATCACTCATCGAGAACACTACCCTCACGTTCCCTTCCTCCCATGGCAGCACGGTTTCCTCCCACTCGAAAAGCTCTTTGGAATCGCACGGCAACTCATGCCCAACTTCAGTTACGTTGAGTTTCTCAACATTCTTCGCCAAATCGAGATACGCCAACAGTCGCTACTCCACCTGGCCCAAAACGGCGTGCACAAACACCGCGGGAAGATGCAGGGATATGTACATGACATTACCCTCGAAAACCTCACATCAGACGATCTCAAGCGGTTTTGTGAATGGCCCACGAATGCCGAAATCTGCGAGCTTGTAGATATGACCTGGGAAGAAGTGATCGCACTTCTCACCGATGTAAATGACCATTTTTCTATCTATACTCATGTTGACTTTAAACGGCCCATTAGATTGGGGGGATGTCGCCGGACGCATTGCCATATCTACACAAAATCGGCACTGCTGTTCCTTTGCGAACCAGAGGTTCCACATTGGTGGGACAGAAGCGACCGCATGCCCTCACCGTTGACGAGGCCTCACCCAAGCAGGTGGATCATCGCTGATGAGGTAAGCAATGGCATTTTCTTTTTTGAAGAACAGCCCACCCTTGCAGCGGCTGTTGCGGCAGCTCAAACGTTTAGTATGCGCACGATGTGCACCAACTTGCGCCCCTACCCGTTTCCAGTACTGATTTCGAGAGCAAGGAAGAACAGCTACGCTCTCAAAAAACAATAACACGACCTACCTTCGTCAATCTCCTCAACATTGCTTCTCCATCTGGACGTTTGGGTGCGTCTCTGGATCGCAGTCTCATTGTAACCAGTGGAAAGGTTGACATTGCTGCCGTGTTTGGGCTGCGCTCCCGACACGACCGCGTTTCTGGTACCCTCTCCGAGCAAACAATCCAGCTTAATCCAAGATACGACTACTACACTCCAAAGTCTTTGGCGGCAACTAATCTTCAGCTACACGAGGCATCTGTTGGTATATCTGGGGAAGATACGATCAGTGGAGACGAATAAGACACGGAAGGTAAGTACCCACAGCTCTTTTTCTGCTGCTTTTTCTCACCCCAAATAGCCCCAATGCCGAATGAGTTCCGACATGCATTGCGCTATGAATCAACCCATACTGGCGGCCTGCAAGATCTCATGCATAAACGACGTGGTGGATATACACGGTACGAGCGCTATGGTACTGGTAACACATCATCTTTAGCGGCACCCTCCATCTCCATTACGATTGCATCTAAAGGGCGGACAATCAAGTGGCCAGTGGCGCTTGAGCTCGTCAAAATCTCACCATTAATTAAGGATACGTGTATGTTACTCGCCGTTTAATATCGGGTTTCATAACCTAACTATGTAATTAGGTCCTGACCTTGCCTCTCGTCGAAAAATCGGTCAAACGAACCCGTGTACAGCAAAATTGTTTGTTATCTTCCAGAGAGGTATGTTCTCATACCTTGGTGAGGTCAGATGCCTCTACAAGAAGGGGCATCCGGAACTGTAAAGGGTGAGTCCATCCTTCTATCCAATCTTCAGGCCAAACTGGCAAGAACGATGTCTATTACTCGTATATTCAAAATTTCTGCCCGCTTTTATTTGGCTCTTTGTTTGTGGTGTTGATGAGATCCCCTTCAGATGAGATTCGCTCTCGATCTGGACATCCTCGCCCTTTTTGGGTCATACTTCCGTTGATAAGATAATGGACCTGACCTAGCGCTTCCTTCGTCGCCATCCTTTCCTCCCCTCTTCCCCTCCCCGTTTTCGCACCGAGGATCCCCGCATCCGCAGAGCTGGTACGTCGCTCAAATTCTCCATCGTCGACACTCGCTTATTTCAGCCCCGCCAGGACCATGGAGCAGCTTTAAGTGCGTATCACACCTCCATCGCTTTTGGGCTATGAACTCACGGATACCTGCTCACAGATGACGATAGCACTCTTCCTGACTCTGTATTGGTGATCTCAACATCTCTATTCCTACTCCCGACTTTCCCTTTAACGCCCCCGTCCTCCCTTCACATGTAGAGTATGCAGGTACGCCCTCGCTTGAACACCATTCCCCACCGATAAAAGTATCCATTACAGACCCGAACTCGTCAGTCCCGTCTCCCGGCGCGCCCTCTCTTACCCCAGGCGCCTTGGGCGGCTTAACCATGACCAAACCTTTACTCTCACCGCTCGTCCGCAGGTGTAGACTGGCACCCCACGTTTAGCGAGCTCGTGCCCACGTCTGAAGCACGCCTCTGGGTGTCCTGGTTGCGTCAGCGGGGACTGTTGTATATCTGGCACGCCCGGTACTGCTATAGACAGCCGTTTTGCAAGGCGTACAATGATGCCGGTACACATTTTGCTTGCAGGCCCATACCATTCAGTGATGTCGCAGCTTACTTATACCCCTGCCTGTCCTGTGTTAGGCTTCGAAACGATACGTACTTTTCTACGTATTACTGTTTTCACAAGTCTAATCGGGACCGTCGGTCTGCATGTCCGATGTACGCGCCCCTGCA